CACTAGGGGACATTCTGAGCTTCCGATTGGTTATTCATGTCACATATAGAAATAAGCATATGTATAAGGGAGCGTTTCCAAAAATGGAAAGACGTGGGCATGATGCCACTGTGTTTCATTTATTACATGAGCAATATCTTAGCAAATAAAAAAAGATAAAACCTTCTTATTTTTTATTCTAGCTTTTCAATATTGGTAATTTGAGTTTCTAATTCGTACGAAACTAAAGACTTAGTATTTTAACTTCAACAAACATCTCATTTGAACTAGTGCTGCATTCAACATACCACGTGACACACAAAAATCAATCTTTATCTGTTTTTTTTATATTTACTTTTAAATTAGGAAATTGAGTAATGTATAGTACTAAAATTAGAATTATAATATACAGTTTGATACCAACTTTATTGACATAAATTCATGAAATAGTAGTTCAATAAAATTTTGAATACGAGTCAACAAACAAGATGACATGGCCCTTCTCCCCTGAACCTTCTCGAAAGGGTTCAGTAAAAAAATTAAAAACTGTTTAGAAACAAGCCTTAAAGTATTAATAGTATAAGATTTTTGTTAACTATTTATGCTACACACTAATTTACTTTCATACATATTCCAGGTATGTAAATATTTAGACTTGGAAAATTATCAAATATTGCTTAGCATCTTTTTAACATTCATCATTTTAATACATTATGGCAACTAAATCCAGCAATAAAAGTCTTATCTCTTTGTAAAGACATCCACTGCTGAAAAAAAGAGGTAAATGGTATGTTTTTAATCTAATAACACTTTTATTCAGCATCAAACCCTAATATTTAATTGTACCATACATGGCCTTTCACAAACCAAATAGTTCCTGGTATATAAAGTAAAACTTAAAAACTGTAAGAAATACCAAACACCTCAGCTGTCACAAAATGATAAAACAATCGATTAGCCAGCTAGAAGTGACTTGACGATATTGCAACTGAACAAGGTTGCCACAAATAATTTTTCAAATTAATCTAGTTTATTTCTCTTTTTTTTTGGTGAGACCTCATCGCTCTCTTCACAACATGGTCTCCTTGGCTTTTTGAAGAAGAAAATGTCTAGTGGCTTTTCAATAATAATTACCACTCTTCCCACAGGCATCCTTTATTCTGCATGTCACGAGGTTTTAGGTGTGTTACATTCAAAATTTAATTAAACTACTTTTTGTTTGTTCATGTTATACCAATTAGCATAAAGTCATAGCTAATAATTCATTTCTTAATAATATACAAGTTTTAAGTTCTTAGTTTTATAAGATAATATTAAAAAAGATCCTGATTTTCCTCCAGTGTGAGAAATGTGACATTTTTTCTCTAGGCATCCCCTCTTCTCTTATTTATTTACCACCCCACCCCACCAAGAAGTACGAAATTTTACGTAAATTACTGATTATAATATTATCATCACTCAGGCAAAGCATAATTTTTGTATCCTTCAATCTTGTTTGGTTACAGAGCCATCAAATAGAAAATCAGACCTCTCTTGCCACATCCACCTGTCACATCCTCTCTTTCAGGATTTGTCAACAGTTCTCTCTTAAGTTTAATACTATATTATTTATTAACAATTGAAAGCCAAGGTTTTCATCTATCAAATGACGTATTATATTTTGTTGTTTGCTGTAAAGAGAATTGTCAATTTCATTTTAAGTTCAACTTGACTCCAACGGGAAACACATCAATGTTGTGTAATGTGAGCCATACATTCCCCAAGTGATTTACAACTTACATCATAATGCCGCGAATAATAGTTAGACACTGTTCAAAGGGCAATAAAACAATAAAATTTCAGTATAAATAAATATATACCGTTATGACTTTAATGCTTTATTCAAGGATTTGTCAAGCAGACTTGTGAGACCATATGCAATTTTGAATTGTTCAAATATTTTGGATTTGGATTTCAAAGACAGAAAACTTCAGTTAAAAAATGAGAATTTGGTAATTGATTATGAAGTTGAGCTTTTCCTTGTAACGCTTTACAAAGGAAAACAGCTATCTTTTTATGAAGATGTAAGAAATTACTATGAAAGTGCATTGGAATGTAGGAAGGCTTAGCTTCCACTTCAGGACAATCAAGAAAGAAAAAAAAGAAGAGATAACTTAGATTTATTTTGATTCTTCTTTTTTTGGTAGTTACTAGGTCAGTCAAATTGACCAACCTTGTATAGAATTAGCATAGAGAAGATAACAGATAAAATATAAAGTTTTACTGAAAAAAAAAAACATTTGAATTCTATTTAGGAGGTTTTAGAGATTACATAAATCAAATTTGATATTTTTGAAATGAAGAAAAGTATTTTTAATCTTAATACGAAAATCATTTTGCACTCGGACTGGTCAAAAAAAGACTCAATATGTTCACGGACAAATACTTCATTAAAAAATTGATTTTTTTTTGTACAAACGACTTGTAATATTTACTATAAGTCTGTCAAATTTTGTGAAGATACAAATATTATTAAATGTTATAGTATTAAAACTATATACAAGTAAAAGGGGTCATGTGGTCAGTCCTTGGGATCGATCCCGTATTGAGAGAGTTTGTAACCAGCTTGATGCTAAATGTGCAGTGCATGTACTGTGCATATACAGACTAGTCTAGTTGATTAGGCTGCGGCACCAACCAGGTGCATTGCAAATGTCATGAACACAAAAACGTATGTGTATGCGATATGTGCATAACAAAGTGTGAAAATACGGTATGTGCCATTTGGGGGGAATTTCTGAAAAATTAACATCAGTTTTGGTTTTGGCACATCAAATTGAAACGTTACGGCACTTTCACTGTGGTATTGGAGGTGTCAAAGACAACATATAAGAGAAAGTAATGATTCTCACATTATGCTAAGCAGAGAAAAGTGATTTGCAACTGGTGTTGTTTTGATTTGCTAATTGCGATGTAAACCCAGATATTTTTTTCCCTGTTATTGCACAAAAAATCCTGGGTGCCAGGTTGCCATAGCAACTAAAAATTACATCATGGCACCTAGTATTTTTTACACATTTTATTCATGTGTAGGGCTGCACTAAATAGAATTCAAATCTAGAACAGTTTTGGACTCTTGGAAGTCCAAAACTATTTTCACATTCTTTGAGTCCTAAATCAAACTTTGTTTCTAGGATTTTAATGGTGGATTCAGCACTTCATGTTTCAGGATGAAGACAGCCCTTCTATGAAAGCACTAAAAACGAAATGAACTGAACAAATAGACAACAGGTGGCAAATGACATCCTTAACAGGAAAAAACATCTATGTGTTATCACCTGCTCTTGACCCCCGGTTCAAACACCTCACATTTATTGGCCAAGCAGTGCAGGAAGCAATGCACTCTGAAATAAAAAGTCTAGCATTTGAGCAAACCAAAGTTGGCAGAACAACCTGAGCCACCTCCACCCCAGAGTGCACCCACAAGTGTTGAAGGTGAAAGTGTCAATCAGTGTAAAGATGAGGAAAA